AAACGGGATGCTCTGAGCTCTGTAATCCCTGAAAGGCATGAGTGTGGGATCCCCTCCGCACTGACATAGCATAAATATCTCAGCTAGAACCAACTCCAGGAAACACAGTTCTCAATTCTATGACAGATGAAATCTCTTCAAATCCTGCCCCTCTGATATGTTAAATCTATTCTTCTTAGCTGAGAAAGTTATTTTATATGCTCAGGAAAGTTGGAAAGTTTTAGGCAAACTAAAAATCCTTAGCAGGATTTGTGTTAAATTTAGAAGGTTTTGACATATTTAGCATAATCTAGAAACATCTGTTATGTGAAGAGTTGGGACTGGGCATGGTGGCTCATGCCTGTAATCCCAGTACTTTGGAAAGCCAAGGAGGGTGAATCATCTGAGGTCAGGAGTTCAAGACCAGCCTGACCAACATGGTGAAACCCCATCTTTACTAAAAATATAAAATATTAGCCAGTCGTGGTGGCAGGCACCTGTAATCACAGCTACTTGGGAAGCTGAGGCAGGAGAAATGCTTGAACCCAGGAGGGTTGCAGTCAGCCGAGGTCATGCCATTGCACTCCAGCCTGGGAAACAGAGCAAGACAGTCTCAAAAAAAGGGGGTGTTAAAAGGAATAATTTGACACAATAGAGAAGCTAACCAATTAACCACATGGTTTTATTACAGAAAGCAGTTTGACTCATTTTAATGTGGACAATTTAAGAGAACGTGGCTGTTTACAAACTGTATTGAATGTCTAAAAAAAAATCTGAATCATTTTGATTAATTAGATTTATGAGTCACTCAGGACCCAAGTGACTTTGCCTGTTAGATTTGTAAATCCTCTTCACTAGGTACTTCAAATCTGGGTGGAGTGGGGAGGGGGAATTGGAATATTTATAAACATAGCGTAAAACATTTGAGGAAATTGAACTAAGTTTTAAAATAGGGTTAACCATTTATCAAAATTTAATCTGAAAACCCTAGGAATGAATGTATACTTTATGAATAAATATATTCATTTAAATTAACAAAATTACAAGCAAAAGTTTAATTCTTATTTTCATACCAAAATAACCAGATTTATGAAGAAAATGACAGTATGAATGAGTTCAACTTAAAGCTTAAAAAAAATCTAGGTTTTGGCCAGGCACCATGGCTCACGCCTGTAATCCCAGCACTTTGGGAGGCAGAGGTGGGCAGATCACCCGAGGGTGGTAGTTCAAGAGCAGCCTGGCCAACATGGCGAAACCCCATCTCTACCAAAAACACAAAAATTAGCCAGTTGTGGTAGTGGGCGCCTGTAGTCCCAGATACTCGGGAGACTCGGGTAGGAAGAATTTCTTGAACCCAGGAGGCAGAGGTTGCAGTAAGCCAAGATTACACCATTGTACTCCAGCCTGGGTGACAGAGCAAGACTCCAACTCAAAGAAAAAAAAAATCTACAACTGTAATAACCTAGCAACTCCTAGATATGTATGCCGGAGGAAGTAAAACTTATGCTCATACACACACAAAACTCTATATGGATGTTTGTTTATAACAGCTCTATTGAACAGGCACGACGGTTCACGCATATAAGCCCAGCACTTTGGGAGGTCGAGGCGGACAGATCACCTGAGGTCGAAAGTTCGAGACCAGCCTGACCAATATGGAGAAACCCCGTCTCTACTAAAAACACAAAACTTAGCCAGGCATGGTGGTACATGCCTGTAATCCCAGCTACCCAGGAAGCTGAGGCAGGAGTATCGCTTGAACCTGAGAGGCAGAGGTTGCGATGAGCCGAAATCGTGGCCATTGCACTCCAGCCTGGGCAAGAGCGAAACTCTGCTCAAAAAAAAAAAAAAAAAAAAATTTAAAAAATATCAGCTCTATTGATAATCTCTAAAATACTGGAAGCAACCCAAATGTCTTTCAAAGATGAATGGATAAACAAATGTTGATACAGTCATAAAATGGAATATTATTGGGTAATGAAAAAGGAATGAAGCACTGACCCATGCTACAATGTGGATGAACCCGGAGGACATCATGCTCAGTGGCAGAACTCCGACACAAAAGGACAAATCCTGTATGACCTCACTCCTAGAAGGTCCCTAGAGTCATCAGATTCTCAGAGACAGAAAGTAGGATGGTGGGAGCCAGGGCCTGGGGAGGGGGATGGGAAGTGAGTGTTTCAGGGCGACAGAGTTTTTTGGGGAAAGATGAGAAAGTTCCCAAGATGGATGGAGGTGGCTATATACCAAAGAGAATGTCCTGAATCTCATTAAGAATGAAAAGAAAGAAGGAGGAAGAGGAGGAAGAAACGGCACTCTATATATCCACACTATCCAGGCATCACAAATGCATTATGCTGAGTGACAGAAGCCAGTCTCAAGAGAGCACACTATGTGATTTCATTTATGTAACATTCTTCAAAAGACAAAACTCCAGTGACAGAGACTAGGTAGGGATGTGCAGAAGTTAGTGGTGGGGGGAGTATCTGACTCTAAGGGAGAAGCCAAAGGGAATTTTTGGAGATCATTAAACTGTTTTGCATCCTAATTATAGTGGTAGTTCCACAAATCTATTCAGGTGAGAAAATTCATCAAACTATACAAGGAAAAGGGTAATTTTACTGTATGCTAATTTTTCAAATCTTACAGCTATAAAAAATTAAATATTAATTCACAATCCATTAATTATAATGAGATTTCTTTTTTTGAGATGGAGTCTCACTCTGTCACCCAGGCTGGAGTGCAGTGGTGCTATCTTAGCTCATCGAAACCTCCACCTCCCAGGTTCAAGCAATTCTCCTGCCTCGGCCTCCTGAGTAGCTGGTACTATGGGAGCCTGCCACCATGCCTGGCTAATTTTCATATTTTTAGTAGAGACAGGGTTTTATCATGTTGGTTAGGCTGGTCTCGAACTCCTGACCTCAAGTGATCTACCCACCTCAACCTTCCAAAGTGCTGGAATTACCTGTGTGAGCCACCACACCTGGCCATAAAGATGTCTTTCTGCACCCAGTGTGCGCCCAGGATATTTGAAACTCGAAACACAATTTAAAAGACTCAATCATTACCTTCATGGAAACTGCAGTCCTTTTATTTTCACACACATTGTCCAGAATGTCGAACATGTCATTTATTAGTGCACAAAACGAGACCTGTGCCCCAGAAAAAAAAGGGGGGGGGCATTTGTGAGCATGGATCGATCTATTCCCACAAGCATGTAATCTACAAACTAGCCCATAAAGCCCCATCCTATGAGGTGGTCCTGAATTCCTGAGTCTCTAGAATTCTCATGGAAATAAAAATTCATTGTTTGATCAGAATTAGAATCACATCACCTTTTCCTTCCATGAATAAAAAAAAGCAAACATAAACAGCAAAACTACTTAGTGATATTAAAAGAAGAGGAAATGTATGAACTAACAGCGGTCCATATGGAATATTATTCAGCCATGAAAAAGAATGGAGTTCTCTGATATGTACTACAGCATGAATGAATCTTGAAAATATCATGCTAAGTGAAAGAAGGCAGACATAAAGGAGCAAATATTGCATGATTTCATTTCTAGGAAATGCCAAGAATAGACAAATCCTCGGAGACAGAAAGCTGATCAGTGTTTACCATGGGCTAGTGGTGGAAGAGAATGGGGAGTGACTGCTTAATGATAAAAATATTCTAGAACTAGGCTGAGCACGGTGGCTCACGCCTGTAATCCCAGCACTTTGGGAGGGTAAGGCAGGCGGATCACCTGAGGTCAGGAGTTCAAGACCAGCCTGGCCAAAATGGCGAAACCCCATCTCTACCAAAAACACAAAAATTAGCCAGGTGTGGTAGTGGGCGCCTGTAGTCCCAGATACTCGGGAGACTCAGGTAGGAAGAATTTCTTGAACCCAGGAGGCAGAGGTTGCAGTAAGCCAAGATTACACTATTGTACTCCAGCCTGGGTGACAGAGCAAGACTCCATCTCAAAAAAAAAAAAAAAATCTAGAACTAGATCGAGGTGATGATTGCATAGCATTGTGAATGGACCAAATGCCACTGAATTGTACACTTTAAAATAGTTAAAGTGGTGAGTTTTATGTTAAAATGTGGTGTACCTCACCACAATTTAAAAAGAAAAACAGTGGTCCAGCGGCATGTGGGAATCCCAAAGCTACAATTTAGAAGCTCATACTTAGAATAGCGACATCAGTTTCTAAAGAGGCCATGGAGTCTTTACTCATTGCAATGACTTCCTTAGACAGTCGGGATGTCCAAATTCCTTTTTGCGTGGCTGGCTGTGTAACACCCCCGCACCACCATCACTCAGTTGCAGTGCCAACACCTTCACTGGTGGTAAAGTCAATATATTCTCTTGTTCGTTTATTAAGAGAATCCTCAAGTTTTAGACAGGCATACATCCTCTCTTCCCAGCTTCCCTTGCAGCTAAGTGTGACCATGTGACTAATTTCTACCCAATCAGGTGCAAGCAGAAGTGGTACTGGGTCATACACTTAAAGAGACGGATTGTGCTTTTTACTTCCTCCTCTCCCCTTCTCACAAGCTGGAATGCAGATGTGAGGGCAGGAGCTGGAGCAACCATCTTGAACCACAAAGTGGGAGTCTTGTGTTGATGCTGGCAGAATGTAATGGAGCCACTGTATGTGCTCTGCATAGCTTACACTCAGACGGTTACAGAGGAGAAAAATAAACTGGCTGTCTGGTTTTGGCCACTATTACTTTTGCCTTTGTTAGAACTGCAAAAACAACATTCTACCTAAATGGCTTCTAGGAAAACCTCAAAAACTAGGAACTTAAAAAATACTTGCATATTCAGGTTTCATTGTGGTTCCCTCTTGGCATTGCTGGGCCTGTTCATTATTGGGTATCATATCTTCCTTACATTTGAAGGGCAGCCCTAGGAAGAAAACAACAGCAAACAAACCAAAGTTCAACCTCAGCAAAATATGATGAAAATTCAAGTCTGGTTCCATCTCCTCCCCTCCCCCACTTAAAATCCATCTATTGCCATAATGCACAAGGGGGAAAACGAACAAACCACAATGACACACTATAACAAAAAGGACATGTTGACTACAACGTACTTTTCTAATTTGTAATTACATGTTAACTACAACATGCAATTTTCTAATTTGCTTGATTTCATTCAATATCATACCTCTTCGAGGCAATCATGAATATGACTATAGATGTATGTCTTTTATATGTGTGACGTCTCACTCAATAGTATGCCCCTGCACAGCTCACATTCAAAGAGGCATGATATTGAGTGAAACAAATTAGAGAAGTCACACATATAAAAGACATACATCTATAGTCATAGGTAGCATGATACACTTTTACAAAGCTTTAACAAGTACTACTAGGCAGATACTGTTTAGGGGTACATACCAGGGAAAAATATTCTTTTAACTACGGAAATAATAAACACCAAATTCTAAGTGTTTCTCTGAGGAGGATACAAGGAGATAGAGTGGAGAAGGAATGTAGAGGAGAACCAATGGCATTGATGATATTATCTTGATTATATTGGGAAGTACATCAGATCTATTCATTTGCTTGTTATACTTCACTGCCTCCAATAAGTTACACATATTTTTCATGTATTAAATAATTCATAATTTAGTGGTTTTAAACCTTTCATGGTTCCCCATTGTTCCGGGGGGGGGGGGAAGGACTCTGAAGTTCTTTTTTTAAAGACAGGGTCTCACTCTGTCACCAGGCTGAAGCACAGTGGTATGATCATAGCTCACTGCAGCCTCGATCCCCTAGGCTAAAGCAGTCCTCCCACCTCAGCCTCCTGAGTAGCTAGGACTACAAGCATATGCTACTATACCTGGCTAATTTTTTATCATTATTCTTTGTAGAGACAGGATCTTGCATTGTTGCCTAGGCTGGTCTTGAATTCCTGGCCTCAAGTGATCCTCTCACCTTAGCTTCCCAAAGTGCTGTTTATAGCTATGTCACTGCATCCAGCCCTTCCAAAATTCCTCACAAGGCACCAAGACCCAGCAGAATCTGACTCCTGTCTGCTTCATCAGATATATCGAATGCCACTTCCCCTTGTCCTCATTTGGTGTGAGCCTCAGGACCTTTGCATCTGCTATAACCCAGAACAGCATGATCTCCATTCTTCCTCTAGAGAAGCCCTAGTCCTCCTTCAAGTTTCTGCTTAAATGTTGTTTGCTTGGAGCATAATCAATATCCTATTAGTCACCCCAGAGCACACTGTGATTTTTTGTTTGTTTGTTTCATTCATAGTTATGATTAAATAATTGTGTGTATGCTTTCTAGCTCCTTGCCTAGACTGTAAGCTACACAAGGACAAGAATCATGCTCATTATACCCAGGACCGAATCTTCAGCACCTACTGCTGGGGTCTGTTAAACTAACTAATTAATTAATAGGTGCTCCAGAAATCATTTGAAAGAGTAAATTAACAAAAGAGTAAATGAATGGAGAAAAAAAGAAACAGAATATATGGATGAGGTAACAGTAAGAGGAAGATCCAGAGGTTGGGTAAAGAGAGAATTTTCCAACCAAAGCCAGACACAGATTCCATTGCCAAGATATACAAAGAGATGATTACTTTGGCAGCTGAAGTTGCCATCTTTCTGGGAGCCTTCTGAATTGGGACGAAAGCCTGCAATGCAGCCACAGTTGTAGGAGCCCAGGACATTGGTGCAAACAGAATTTGGACCACATGTTGATGGATCTTGGAGGCACTCATCAATATCTGCAAAGAACTGGAGAATATCAAGAAACCCAGAAGAGCAAAGAGAAATGTCTTTTCTGGACTAACCAGCAAACCCTCTGCTCACCTCTACATTCCACTTCTTGGTCTGTGAAATTCAGCTGTCCATTGCTTGGTGCAAAGCCAGGGTGGCAGGTGCAAAAGTAGCTCCCAGGAGTGTTGGTGCATGTTGAATTGATGGGGCACATTTCAATGCATTCATCGATATCTGTGGGGTACAGAATGGGTGTGGAGCCATGTTGGCCAAATGATCCAACAAAATCATGCTTCTTCCCTTTCCAAAATAAGGAGTCATGTTTCACTAGAAAATGGCATCCCAGCCAGGGACTACATTTCCCAGAGCCTTCTCCATCTAGGTGAGGTCATGTGACTACTTTTCATTCATGGACTATGAGAGCCATGATATATGTCACTTCAGGGCCAAGGTTGTCAAGAAGTGGGTGTAACTTCTCTCTCTCTTTCTTTCTCTCTTTCTTTTTTCCTTCTTTCCTTTCCTTCTTCCTTCCTTCCTTCCTTCCTTCCTTCCTTCCTTCCTTCCTTCCTTCCCTTCCTTCCTCCCTCTCTCTCTCTCTCTCTCTTTCTCTCTCTCTCTCTTTCTCTCTTTCTCTCTTTCTTTCTTTCCTTCTTTCCTCTTTTCCCCCTTTCCCCCTTTCTCTCTTTCTTTCTTTGACAGAGTCTTGCTCTGTTGCCCAGGCTGCAGTGCAGTGGCACAGTCTCGGCTCACTGCAACCTCCACCTCCTGGGTTCAAGCAATTCTACTGCCTCAGCCTCCTGAGTAGCTGGGATTACAGGTGTGCACCACCACGCCTAGCTGATTTTTGTATTTTTAGTAGAGACGGGATTTCACCATGTTGGTCAGGCTGGTCTCAAACTCCTGACCTTGTGATCTGCCCACCTCAGCTTCCCAAAGTGCTGGGATCACAAGTGTGAGCCACTGTGCCTGGCCCACTCCTCCCCCTTTCACCTAAACTGGCTAAAACCAGGAACTCCAAGGTTCTAAAGAATGGAAGAACCAAAAGATGCAGAGAGACTGAATTCCTTTATCACCATGTCAAGAAAAGCTGCCCACTGGCCAGGTATATCCATAATGAATTGTTATGAAAGTGATAAATTTCTATTATGTTAAGCTAGTAATAAGGTAGGAAGCAGGACTCAACTCCAGAGGAGGGACTCGGACACTGGACCAAATTGAGGACTAGCTAAAACAAGGACAGGGTGGAAGCAGCCTTCCGTAAGACATGCCCCACCAGTGTGCCACGTCAGTCTACCATTGCCCTGGCAACATTGGGGAGTGACTGCCCCTTTCTATGGCAATGACCTGATGACCCAAAAGTTACTAACCCTTCCCTAGAAATGTCTACATAAACCACCTGTTAATCTGCATATTATTAAAAGTAGGTATAAGTATGATTGCAAAACTACCCTGAGCTCTGCGCTCTGCCTCTGAGGTAGTCCTGCTCTGTGGGAGCAGTCACAGAGCTGTAACACTGCCAGGGCTGTAACACTGCCTCTTCAATAAAGCTGTTTTCTTCTACCTCTGGCCTGCCCTTGAAATCTTTCCTGGGCAAAGCCAAGAGCCCTTGTGGGCTAAATCTCACTTTGGGGCTTGCCTGTCCCGAATCAGTAATACTCAACTGGGGGTGATTTGTCCTTCCAGGGAACAGGGTACAATATCTAAAGACATTTTCAGTTGACATAACATGGGGTGGAAAGAGTGTTACTGGGATCTAGTTGGTGAAAGCCAAAGATCCTACCAGACATTCTGCATGGCACAGAACAACTCCTCACAACAAAAAATTATATAGCCCAATATGTCAATGGTGCTGAGGGTGAGAAATCCACACTCAACTAATATAGGATGATGCCAGGCTACTATGCCAATATGGGGCTAGCTCTTCCTCTGAGGGTGTCTGACCACAAAGGATATATGGGGTAGAATGTTATGAGAAAAAAATAATTAGGAAAGAGGTGAAGACAAAAGGTCTTCTATTCCTATGTCAACTCACAAAACATGAGGAATAAACAACCTTCTGCGGTGACTCACGTCAGTCTAAGGTACAGGGAATTGGGCAGTACTGTGGAGGACTGGGATGAAAAGTCTTTGTGTTATGAATGTTGGTTAATTTGAAGGCCTCGAAGGACACAAGAATGATCCATGATTGGAAGGTAAGGGGAAATAGTTTTTCTGCTGGTATCATGGAAAATGTCACTAACCAAGCAGTGAGCTTCTTTTAGTGGCAGTGAGCACCCCACTTCCAGAAATATTTCAGCATGAACTAGGTGAGCACTTTTCACAGATTACATGGTTGGGACTTATACTTTGCATATGGAGTTGGGTTAGGTGCATGGTTTTCAAAACGTTTTGGCCCAAGAAGCCTTCCTTCAGGTGAAGTGAAAACTGAATAGGTAAGACAATTAAAAGAGGGTATAATTTGCCAGAAAAGAAGATGGGCATCCATGGCCTTGCCTGCCTAGCTTTTCTCTTGGCCTTGATGGGGATCTTGAGTGGGTTCCTAGGCCCCTGGAGCTATGCTAATTTATTTGTAAGATCCCTTTCAACTTTACTTCTCTATTATTCTGCTTCTAACAATATCAGAAGCTAGCAAATATCAGCAAATAATAAGCAATATGATATTTTAATAAAAAGAAGCATGCATTTTCCCTGGTGGGATTGAAGAATACAAAATGTACTCTGTAGTATGGTAGGTACTCCAACAATGACCTCCATCAATTCTTCTGATTTCTCTGTGCACGTAGTGCTCCTTCGGTGAGATGGGGAGTTTATTCTCCTTCCTTGGGATCTCTGTGGGCCCTGTGACTATGACCAATATCATGTGGTAGAAGTCATGGAACTTCCCAAGCCCAGACCATAAAATGAATGGCCATTTCTGTTTTCTTCCCCTTGAAACTGTGTTTCTTGGAAACCAACTGCCATGCTATAAGGAAGCCAAGCAGCCATGAGGAAAGGCCCATGAGGAAATCTTAGGGTCCCAGCTGAGGTCCCAGCCAAAGACCGGCACCAACTACCAGCCATGTGTAAGCAAGGCCATTTTGGATACATGGTATACCAGCTTTCCTAGTGCCCCATCTGACCTACGTGAAACAAAAGAATCATGTGTTCAACATATAGAATCATGAAAAAGAACAAATGGTCATTGTTATAAGTTAGTACATTTCAGAATAGTTTGATATCTGTTGAAAAATCCTCAGCATGGCTGGGAGAATTACCTGTACATCCAAAAGCCTGTGGATCTTTAAGGGTCTGAGAAGCAGGCAAAAAATATCCGGGCAGGCAGGAGCAATTGTATCCTCCTGGGATGTTGGTGCAGACAGAATTGGGACCACAAAGATTTGAGTTCCTGGAACATTCATCCACATCTAAGCAGAAAACCAGTCTAAGTCAAAAGAATGAAGGAGACTGAGGCTACAAGAGTTCAGAGCCTCATCACTGACTGAAAGCAATGTATTTCCCTGACTATTCTCTCACCTTCATAAACACATTTTCATCACTCAAAGAACAACCATTTAGAGGCATATCCATGGTGCATGAAAATTTTCTAATAAGGCTTCCCACTGCTCAGGATAAAATCCAAAATCCTCATTAGATATTAAGGCCCTGACAACCTAGTTCCAACTGAGCTGACCTACCTCTACCTCATCTCTTGCTTTGAATTCCTTTGTGATTTATGATCCAGATGCATAGTTTACCTTTTTCTTTTTTAACAGACAGCATCTCATTCTGTTGCCCAGACTGCAGTTCAATGGCACCATCATAGCTCACTGTAGCCTCAAACTCCTGAGGTCAAGTGATCCTCTCACTGAGTAGCTGGGACTACAGCCATGTGCCACCATGCCCAGGTACTTTTTTTTATATAGAGACAGGGTGTCACTATGTTGCCCAGGCTGGTCTCGAACACCCAGCCTCAAGTGATCCTCCTGCCTCAGCCTTCCAAGTAGTGGGAGCTAAAGACGCGTGCCCCATGCCTAGCTAGTTTGTTTTTGTACAGACAGGGTCTCAATATGCTGCCCAGGTTGGTCTCAAACTTCTTGCCTCAATACAGTTTCCTTCTTCAGCTTCCTAGAGTGTAAACGCGTAGATACCCTTTATTCCACAAAGGCTCATTGTCTCTCTTCTCTGTTCCCTCAGCCTTGAACTTGCACACGCACTTCTTTCTATGATAAATCTCAATTCCTCTCCTAGGCATCACATATTATTAGTAACAAAAACAGAGGCACATGGCCAGGCGTGGTGGCTTACACCTGTAATCCCAGCACTTTGGGAGGCTGAGGCAGGTGGATCACCTGAGGTCAGGAGTTTGAGACCAGCCTGGCCAATATGGTGAAACCTCATCTCTACTAAAAATACACAAATTAGCTGGGCATGGCGGCACATGTCTGTAATCCCAGCTACTCTGGAGGCTGAGGCAGGAGAATCACTTGAACCCGGGAGGCAGAGGTTGGAGTGAGCTGAGATTGGGCCACTGCACTCCAGGCTGGGCAACAGAACAAGACTCCATCTCAAAACCAAAAATCAGGCTGAGTCCAGTGGCTCATACCTGTAATCCCAACATTTTGGGAGGCCGAGGCAGGCGGCTCATTTGAGGTCAGGAGCTTGACACCAGCCTTGCCAACATGGTGAACCCCCATCTGTACTAAAAATGCAAAAATTAGCTGAGTGTGGTAGCACGTGCCTGTAATCCCAGCTACTTGGGAAGGTGAGGCAGGAGAACTGCTTGAACCCAGGAGGAGGAGGTTGCAGTGAACCAAGATGGCAACACTGCACTCCAGCCTGGGCAACAGAGCAAGACCCCATCTCAAACAAACAAACAAACAGAACAAAAACAAACAAACAAAACAGAGGCACAGACTAAAGGGATTGAGAACATGGACATTCTGGGTTCATAGCCTGGCTCTGCCATTTACAGGCTGTTTGTCCCTGGGTGCTATGGACTGAATGGTGCCCCTCCTCCAAATTCCTATGTGGAAGCCCTAAGCCCCAGTGGGATGTTATATCGAGATGTTATTTATTGCTGTATCCCCAGTGCCTAGAATAATGCCTCATATATTTTAGGTGCTCAAGAGGTATTTCTTTAATGAGTGAATGAGTGAATGAATAATTATTGACTTCAGATTTGCAGATGAGAGTCTCAAACTCAACCAAGACCCACCCCAATCCCCTCACTGCTGTCTTTGCAAATAGACTGGCACCTAAATTCCCAGAAGACACCTCCAACTACCTTCACACAATTCTCTGAGACCCTGAAAACTCAAGAGGCCACTGCTGGATTCAAATCCCGGGTTGCAGAGACAAGTGTAGGCTCCAACAGTGTTATGGCAAGTTGCATGCTCCGGGCAAGCTCTTGGATTGAGACATTCATCCACATCTGATGAGAGGAAGAGAAAACCCAGGTTAAGGTAAATGAGAAAACAAGGACTGGAGACTGCAAACAGCAGATTCACTCAGTGTGTTAATTTGCAGCAGACAGGGCTGATGCTCCCCAATATCCATGTTCCCCCCTTCTTCCCAGGCACACAGTGGGACATATTTTCCAGCCCCTTCTTGCAGTAGGCATGGCCATGAGAATAAATTCTAGCCAATGGCATGTAAGCAGAGGGGTGGCAAATAGTTTCAAAACATAATTATCAGAGATTGCAAAAGTAGCCATAGTCCTTTACTCCTCTCTGTATCTACACCCCAAGATGTAGACTGCATACCAGGTGACTTTACCACACCTTGCACTAAGAGGTGGAGTCTGTTTCTCTACCCCTTAAATACATCTGGCCCTATGACTTGCATTGACCAATAGAAGACAGTGAAGTAATGAGGCACTAATTCCAAACCTGTGCCTCCAGAGACCTGTTGGCTTCTGTTCATTCGCTTGGGCCTCTGATCTCTGCCATATGAACAAACCCCTGACTAGCCTAATGAAGAATAAAAGACCAAGTGGAAGGGAAATGAATCATCCCAGATGAGCCCCAGACATGTGAAACCCATTCCCTCCTCCTCGTAATAATATAACAATATAATAATATAACCATCCAGTTGAGAATTGCATTCCCAGCTTCTCTTGCAGCTATGTGTGGCCACATGGTGAAAATCTGGCCAAGGAGAATAAATAGAACTGATGTGTGTACCATCTGATCACGCCCTTGAAAAGAAAGAGCATACTCTACACTTACTCTCTCTTTTCACCTGGGCTGGAAGATGGACAGAGTGGGGTGATCCATGCCCAACTATGGGGATTGGAGAGGCAACAAGAGAAAGCCCACCCGAGATCAGCTGACCGCAGACACAAGAACAAGACCCATTGAGACCAAAAGATCTGGCTAGAATAGACCACTTAAATTGTCAACTCATGGAATCAAGAGCCAAATAAATGGTGGTTGTTTCTAGACACTAACTTTTAGGGTGATTTTTTATCCAATGATGGCTAACTGCTACAAATAGAGTAGCAAAGGCAGAGATGACTTCAAACATCTCTTCAGCTAAGCCAGGGGGATGTAATGAGGGCTTGATCACACCTTGCCTTTCTCAATGGAGTCACCATCCCTGTAAATGAATATGGAGAATAACAATGCACTTGACACAGGAGGATGGAGCCCTTGTTTCTTGGTGAGAACATTCTGGCTGCAGTGTAGACGATGGATTGCAGGAAATAAGACTGGAAAAGGTGAGGCTAGAGAGGAGGCTTTTGCAGTGATGATGAAGCTTCACCCAAGGATGGAAAAGAGCAGAGGAATTCAACACATATGTATTTATGTATGTATTTTTGAGACCAGGTCTTGCTCTATCATCCAGGCTGGAGTGCAGTGATGTAAGCACAGTGCATTGCAGCCTCAACCTCCTGGTGTCAAGCAATCTTCCCACCTCAGCTTCTTTAGTAGCTGGGACCACAGGCACATGCCACCACGCCCAAATAATTTTCTAACTTTTTTTTTTTTTGTAAAGACAGGGTCTCACTGGGTTGCCCAGGCTGGTCTCAAACTCCTGGTCTTAAGCACTTCTGTCCCAGCCTCCCAAAGTGCTGGGATTACAGGCGTCAGCTGCCACACCCAGTCTCAAAACATATTTAGTAAGTAGATTCCCCAAGGCGTGATGACTGCTTTAATATGGAGGGAGAGAAAAGCTTAAAGATAACTTTCAAGCCTTAATTCAAATTACTTTTAGGGGAAAGTTCTGAGGTCTGGACTTTAGATCTCCCCGGAATAGGGTTTTTCCACCTCAGCACTATTGTCATTTAGGGCCAGATTATTCTTGGTTGTGGGGATGTTTCGTACGTTATAGGATGTTTAGCAGCCTCTCTGATCACTTCCCATTAGATGCCTGTAGCACACACAGCACCTCTCCCCACCATCACCAGTTGTGACAATCAAAAATATCTCCAGATGTTGCCTATGCTCCCTGGGGGAAATATCAGTATGAAGACAAGTGCACCCCATTATATTCTGATACCACTGTTTGACTTATAGTAGGACCTCAACGGGAGTTCAAATCCCAGCTCTTCCATTTAATATTTGCATATAGACCACAGATCCTATAAAGCAATTACACAATTGAGATTACAAAGCAACTAGCTAGCAACACTGTGAAAGGAATTAAGCCTTCACATGTCAATATTAACCTTGAACAGAAATGGCCTACATGCTCCACTTAAAAGATATAGATTGTTAAACTGAATTAAAACAAAAAAGGAACCCAACCATGTGCTGCCTACAAGAGACCTACTTAACATGTAAAGACACCCCCAGTCTCAAAGTAAAGAGATAGAAAAAGATGTAAGCAACTATATATTTTTACCTCTGTGAAGCCCCAATTTCTCATTCCTAACATGAGAAAATCCCTTCATCTTATGGTCTTCCAGTGAGATGACCCTTAATTAATTAAGTAGGCAAATAATAAAGAGATGGTCATTTATACCTTCACAGGTGGAGTTTCTAGAGATGAATCCAATTTGACAGCTGCAAAAGTAGCTTCCCATAACGTTGACACAGTCAGAATGCTCAGGGCAGATCCCGTTGGTGAGGCACTCATTGATGTCTGAGAAGCAGTGGAAGAGGGTGAGTAGATAATAAATTGGGTGACTAAGTTCAGAAATACATGAGCTCAAGCCAGGTGCGGTGGCTCACACCTGTAATCTCAGCACTTTGGGAGGCTGAGGAGGGTGGATTATGAGGTCAGGGGTTCGAGACCAGCCTGACCAACATGGTGAAACCCGGTCTCTACTTAAAAATACAAAAATTAGCTGGGTGTGGTGGCATGCTCCTGTAATCCTAGCTACTTGGGAGGCTGAGGCAGGAGAATTGCTTGACCTGGGAGGCAGAGGTTGCAGTAAGCTGAGAGCACACCATTGCACTCCAGCCTGGGTGACAGAGTGAGACTCTATCTAAAAAAAAAAAAAAAAAAAAAAAAAGAAAGAAAAAGAAATACATGAACTCACCTTACTGATAGATACCCACCCAAGACCCATCTCTGGGAGCCTGAGAACATTACCAGTACAGGAGAAATTGCCTGGCTTTCCTGAGATCCAGCCATTTGCAGTGGGAGAAGAGAAACCATGTAAACAGGCACAGCTGTATCTCCCCAACAGGATTTTGCAGACTGAGTTAGGACCACAGGGCTGGGGGCTTTGAGAACATTCATCAATATCTGGACAGGGAGTTGGAGTTACAAATTTGCTTATCCTAGATAGAAAACTGTATTTTGCAAAAAAAAAAAAAAAAAATCTTAAAACAATATCTCCCATCCCATATGCTCTTCATTCAATGTGACTTTGGCACTTCTTCCATTAAGCAATGGAATGTATGTCCCCCTCTTGAATCTGAGCATGGTTGTGACTATGGTGGAAGTGACACTAGGTCATAAAAATATTATGTACTTCTACCTCGTTCTCTTGGGATGCTTATCCTTGGAATCCAGCCACCATATTGTGAGGAAACTCAACCGTTCACGAAATTTTACAGTGACCAGGAATTATTTACATGGTCAGAGAGAGCGAGGGTGGGGAGAGAAGAAAAGAAAAGAAGAGGGGAAAGGAGGAGAGGGGAGGGGGAATGGGAAAGGGAAGGGAAGGGAGAGAGGGAAGGGAAGAGAAGGGAAGGGGAGAGGGAGGGAGAAAGGGATGGAGGAAGGAAGGAAGGAAGGAAGGAAAAAAGGAAGGAAAAAAGGAAGGAAGGAAGGAAAGAAGGAAGGAAGGAAGGAAAGAAGGAGGGAAACAAACCATGTTGGGCTGAGGGGAAGTACCTATATTCAATACCCAGCCAGCTTTTACTTGATTTTCCCACCAAATGCTGGAGGGTTTGAGGGGGCATGAACTCACCTTTGCATTCCACTCCTGGACCCTTGAAGCGTCTTTGTCCATTGCTGGACAGGAAGCCTCGTTTGCAAGTACAGTAGTAACTGTCCATGTTGCTGGTGCAGGTGGCATAAGCTGGGCACATGGTAGTCTCTCTACATTTATTTGCATCTAGGCAGTGTATAACAAAAAGTTTAGACAAGATTAGAGCATTAGAGTGAGGCTGCAAGGGAACCCAGCATACAAGGGTGGAGGCTGGCATACAATGGGCTGGATTGTGCTCCACCCAAAAGATATGTTGAAGTCCTAAACCCTGGTACTTGGAATTTAATTTATTTGGAAGCTGTGTCTTTGTAGATGTAATTAAGATATAAGTTAAGATGAATCAGTGCTGGAGTAGGGTGGGCCACAGGTGTCCTTATAAGAATAGAAGAGACACAGGCATGCACAGGGACAATGACATCCAACAATGGAAATCGGGATCAGAGAGATGTGCCTAGAAGCCGAGGAACACCAAGGATTGCCAGCAATAACAAAACCCTTTTTTTAAAAAAAGGCATGGAACAGATTCTGCCCAATAGCCTTTGGCAAAAAACTGGCCCTGCCAATACTTTGATTTCACATTTTAGATGCCAGAACTTCAAGAGAATAAATTTCTGTTGTTTTAAGCAGCCCTAGGAAACTGACACAGCAGACAATCATATTTAATCATGTACCTTGAAGACCCTAGACCCTTGCTATTCAGAGTAGGGTCTATGGGTCAGCCACATGAGCATTGCTTGGGAGTTACATGGACATGCAAAATCCACTGAATCCGAATCTGCATTTGAACAAGATCCAAGGTGATGTGTGTGCACAGGGAAGTTTGAGAAGCACTGCTCTGGATCCTTGCTACCCAAAGTGTGGTCCACAGACCAGTATCATCTGCCTCCCTTTGGATTCCAAGAACATCTTGGAAAATCAGATGCTGATTCAGCAGGTCTGGGGAAGGGAGCCTGGGATTTTGTATTTCTAACAAGTCCCTGGAGGATGCTCATTCCATTGGTCCATGGATCACACCATGAACATCCAAGCACTAGACAGAAAAGTGAGAGAGTCAAAAGTGCAAGTTTTGGGACAAGGCAGACTTGAGTTCAAGTTCCAGCAGCAAACCTTAAAGCCAAGAATGGCAGCTGCCCCTCCAGATCCATTCCACCCTCCTCTTTGTAATAATATAACCATCCAGTTGAGGACTGCATTCCCAGCTTCTCTTGCAGCTAGGAGTGGCCACAGGGCGAAAATCTGGCCAAAGAGAATGAATAGAAGTGATGTGTGCACCATCTGGTCATGCCCTTGAAAAGAAAGGGCATACTCTACACTTCCTCTCTTTTTTTTACCTGGGCTGGAAGATGGACAGAGGAGGGTGATCCATTCCCAACCACTGGGATGAGGTTCACACCTAAGGTTGGAGAGACAACAAGACAAAAGGAACTTGGGAGATGGGATGACGTTCTAGGCAGAGTTGTCCCACCACCCTGTTCCATCTTCAAGGTGGAGATTTATTAGAGAAAAATAAACATCTAAATTTTTTCATTCATAGTTATTTTATTTGTATGGGAACAATCATGACTCTATCCTAGCCAATCCAGTCCTGGGACCTCTCTGTACCTCAGCTTACCACCACATCCAGTAAGCCTCCAAGCCCTGTTGATCCCCTGCCCCAAATATCATTTGACAACTGCCCATTTCACTCCACCACCTTGGCTATGCCTGACCCAGATCCTTCTCTGAATTCAACATTTCTACATACTCCATTGTCCTCCACAATCGTCTACTCCACACCATGGTCATCTCTGAATGCGCCTTTGATCTCCCACCTCCACCCGCTGCCTATAATGCTTCTTGTTCTCTTTAGAAATAAAACTCAAAGTACTCAGCATGAGCTGCAAAATCCCCACTGACCAAGCCCAATCACATCATTCAGCCTCATCATGCCAGTTTCTCTTTGTTCTCCATTTCTAGCCTTCCTACCACGGACTTTTGCACATGCTGTTCCCTCTGCCTCTGCTTTGCCTGGCCAGCTTTCACTCATTCTTCAGGTCTTGCTGTAACATTGCTTCATCCAAGAAGCCTTCTCTGACTCCTCTATAGCTCTTGAGCTCCTCTTTTATGGAATTTATCAAAATGGTGACTGCCTGATTGTTTCAGTGATTCCCTCCTTCATGGCCACCTTCACCACCACACTGTGAGCTTCAAAAGGACAAGACCACAGGTGGGGGCAGGCTCCCAGGTGCTAGGGAAGAGGCTCACTTGATGCTATCATTCTTGTGGCAAGCAGAATAAGACCCTTCCAAGATGACCACATTCTAATCCTGAAACCTGTGAATATGTTATGTTCCATGGCAAAAGAGGAATGAAGGTTGCAGGTGGAATTAAGTTTGCTGATCAGCTGATCTCAAGATGGGGAGATTATCCTGGATCATCCAGGGGCAAACAATGTAACCATAAGAGTCTTTTTAAGTGAAAGTTGAAGCCAAGAAAGGCATTGTCAGAGTGACGTGATGTGAGAAAGATCTGACCAGCCATCACTGGCTTTGAAGATGGGGAAAGGGGACATGAGCCAAGGAATGTGGTTGGCCTTAGATACAGGAAAAGGTAAGAAAATAGGTTCTCTTGGCTGGGAGTGGTGGCTCATGCCTGTAATCCCAACACTCTGGGAGGCTGAGGCGGGCAGATCATGAGGTCAGGAGTTCAAGACCAGCCTGACTAACATGATGAAAACCCGTCTCTACTAAAAATACAAAAAAATTAGCCAGGCGTGGTGGTGGGTGCCTGTAGTCCCAGCTGCTCAGGAGGCTGAGGCAGGAGAATCGCTTGAACTGGGAGGTGGAAGTTGCAGTGAACCGAGATCACACCATTGTACTCCAGCCTGGGTGACAGAGAAAGACTCCATCTCAAGAAAAAAAGAAGAAAGAAAGACAGACAGAAAGAGAGAGAGAGAGAGAGAGAAAGAAAGAGAAAATAGGTTTTCTTATACAGAATCCAGAAGGAACACAGCCCTGCCAAAGCCTCTATTTTAGCCCAGTGGGACCCATTTCAGACATCTGACCTCCGGAATGACAGATAATTTTTTGTTGTTTTATGCCACCAAGTTTGTGGCAATTTGTTACAGCAGCCATAGAAAATGAACACAATTCCCTATACCCATATGTGAAAAGAACATGACTCAGAGTGATTTAGCAACTTACCCAAAGACACACAGCTAGACAGCAGCAGAGCCAGACCTTTCAAAATCCAAAGTACATTCAAGAGATAGAATCAATCTAAGTGTCCATCAGTGGATGAATGGTTAAGGAAGATGTGATATATGTACTCAATGGAATATCACTCAACTATAAGAAATAATGAAATCGTATCATTTGCAGAAACATAGATGGAACTGGAGGACATTACATTAAACGAAATAAGCCAGGCAAAGAAAAATAGATATTGCATGTTCTCATTCCTATGTGGGAGCTTAAATAATAATAATGATGGTCTAATGGAGGTAGAGAGCAGGATGATAATTACCAGAGGCGGGGAAGGGTAGTGGGGAAGGGAAATAAAGAGGATTTGTTAGTTAGTACAAAAACACAGTTAGGGCCAGGCACAGTGGTTCACGTCTGTAATCCCAGAACTTTGGAAGGCGAAGGCAGGTGGATCACCTGAGGTCAGGAGTTCAAGACCAGCCTGACCAACATGGAGAAATCCCCTGTCTCTGCTGAAAATACAAAGTTAACTAGGCGTGGTGGCACATGCCTGTAATCCCAGCTACTTGGGAGTGTGAGGCAGGAGAATCGCTTGAACCCGGGAGGCGTAGGTTGTGGTGAGCCAAGATCATGCCAATGGCACTCCAGCCTGGGCAACAAGAGCGAAACTCCATCTCAAGAAAAAACAGAAACAAAAACACAGTTAGATGGACGGAATAACATCTAGTGCTCAGTAGCACAATAGGAAAACGACATATGAATCAGGACATATTTGTCTTTCTGTGCCTGGCTTATTTTACTTAATATAATGACCTCCAGTTTCATCCATGTTGCTGCAAATTACAGAATTTCATTCTTTTTATGGCCAAATAGCATCCCACTGTATATGCAGACCACACTGTGTTCAACCTTTCATCTGTCAATGGACATTTAAGTTGATCCCTTGTCTTTATTATCATTGTTGTTATTATTGAGACGGAGTCTTGTTCTGTCACCCAGGCTGGAGTACAGTGGTGTGATCTTGGCTCATTGCAACCTCCGCCTCCTGGGTTCAAGTAATTCTCCTGCCTCAGCCTCCCAAGCAGTTGGGATTACAGGTGCACACCACCACACCAGGCTAATTTTTGTATTTTTAGTAGAGACGGGGTTTCATCATGTTGGCCAGGCTGGTTTCAAACTCCTGACCTCTGATGATCTGCCCACCTCAGCCTCCCAAAGTGCTGGGATTACAGGTGTGAGCTACCGCGCCTGGCCTGATTCCACATCTTGACTATTGTGAATAGTGGACTTGGGTTTTGTATCAAAGAAAGATGGGAGTCATGGGAGGATCTAGAGCAGAGTAGGGACACAGCGCAAGGTTTTAACATAAGCCTTCTGGCCACTGGTTGGAAGATGAACTATAGAAGATCAGAAGCAAATTGATCAAGGAGGGGGTGACTGCACTTGTCCAGGTAAATGATGTCAGTAACCCAGAGGGGAGCAATGGAGGGAATGCAAATTGGGATTTTTTTTTAAGCAACGCTAACAAAATTTGCCAATGGATTGGATGTGAGGAGTGAAAAGAGAGGAACCAACCATAATGCCAACACCAATTGGTAGTATGAAAAAATGAAAAAGTGTCATAAAAACAGAAGGAATGTCTGGGCGCGGTGGCTCACGCCTGTAATCCCAGCACTTTGGGAGGCCAAGCCGGGTGGATCACCTGAGGTCAGGAGTTCGAGACCGGTCTGGCAAACATGGTGAAACCCCATCTCTACTAAAAAATATACAAATTAGCTGGATGTGATGGTGCGCACCTGTAATCCCAGCTACTCGGGAGGCTATGCCAGGAGAATCGCTGAACCCCAGGAGGTGGAGGTTGCAGTGAACTGACATCAAGCCACTGCATTCTAGCCTGGGTGACAGAGTGAGATGCCATCTCAAAAAATATGTATATACAAAAATTAGCTGGGCATGGTGGTGTGCACCTGTAATCTCAGCTACTGGAGAGGCTGAGGCAGGAGAATTGCTGAAATCCAGGAGGTGGAGGTTGCAATGAGCAGAGATCAAGTCTAGCATGGGTGACAGAGTGAGAGTTCATCTCAAAAAATAAATAGATAAATAAATAAGGAATAGATTATTGTAATTGTGACATTATTCACCCTGTTTTTGTCACATGCTCAGTTTTGAGATCCAAGTTCTTTGCTTCTATAATGCTCCCTGTTTATTTCTCTTCCCTGCATGAGGCCTCTGATGGTATCTCTCTTCCCATTTCCAGCTTCCTCTTTCATCTGCAGAGGCAACATTTGTCTGCAGGTTTCTAGCATTTTATCACTTGTGGTCCCTTAATGCGGTGAGCTTCCCATCATCCTCTTCCTCTAGCCCACTCCCTCACAGCTCAAACCCACCCAAGCCCAGGATAACAGCCCAGCCTTGTGGGACGAGGACAGAGCGAGACTCCATCTCAAAACAAACAGACAAACAAAACACAACCCAGGAAGTGGGTACCACCCTCCGTCCATGGTACACATGAGGAAACCGAGTCTCAGAGAAGCTGTTGGGTCATTTGGACAGAAAACAGGAGAGTTGGGGCCCTGGTCCAGGGTCATAGCCCCCAAAATGTGGTCTCTTCACAGCTTTGATGACCAAATGCTCTCTGGGCCTTGGTTTTCTCATCTGTAAAGTGGGTTTAATTGCAGAATCCAGCCAGGAAGCCTGTGATGATGGAGGCATCAGAGCAGGGGAACTCCCATTGATAAAACCATCAGTTCTCATGAGACTTACTCACTACCATGAGAACAGTAGAGGAAAACCACCCCCTATGAATCAGTTATTTCCACCTTGGCCCCACCCTTGACACGTAGGGATTTTTACAATTCAAAGGTGAGATTTGTGTGGGGACACAGCCAAACTCAACAACTAAGAACTGACAATCTCTTTCTTCCTTTATCCAGCAAGAGCTTATGTAGATGAGAGTATTTAACAAAACATAAAGTCACTTATGTTTTTCCTTTTTTTTCTTTGAGACGGAGTTTTCTCTCTTATTGCCCAGGCTGGAGTGCAATGGTGTGATCTCAGTTCAATGCCACTCCACCTTCTGGGTTCAAGTGATTCTCCTGCCTCAGCCTCCCACGTAGCTGGGATTACAGGCGTGCACCCCCACACCTGGCTAATTTTTCTGTTATTAGTAGAGACAGAGTTTCACCATGTTGGCTAGGCTGGTCTTGAACTCTTGAACTCAGGTGATCTGCCTGCCTCAGCCATCCAAAGTACTGGGATTACAGGCGTGAGCCACTGCACCCAGCTGTCACTTATGTCTCTTCACACTGAGTTGTAGTTTGAGTAAATTCTATCCCTACTCTTAATACACTACCATTGATAAAGCTCATGCTACATGCCAGGTGGTTTCCAAAGCTACCTTTTTGAACTTAGGTTACAGAACATCCCTATTGTTGTCTGTATTTCACAGCTTGGGAGACTGAAGTTCAGAGAGGTTATGTGATTTGCCTGAGATCACACAGCAATTCTAAGCACAAAGGAAAGAGCCTGGAGTGAAAATCAGGAGACCTGCATGTTAACCCTTGCTCTGCCAGTTACTAGCTCCCAGCAAGCATCTGGATGAGGCTTAATTTCCCAGGATTTTTCCTGGGGAGAAAGCATTCTCCACTGTATCAGGCATCTGCATTCTCTCTGGCCAACTTACTTTTTATTGTTGATTTCAGTGTGGGTCCTGTGTGCATTTCCCAGATGTCCATAACACAACACCCTATGAAGAGAAAAAAGTAAAACACCATGAACCACCAAAAAAACAAAACCCTTTTGGGCTCAACCTGCAACATTGCTTCTGGCTTGGCCTCACAGAAACAGGTTTGAGGAGGCTAGGTGACAAACTCAGTTAAGGAACAAACATACACTATTTTGCATGAGCGTATGAGTGACCATTCCTGATTTTTGACACTTAGGGTTTTTTTTCATTTTGTCTGTCTTCTTCCTCTTCTTTTTTTTTTTTTGAGACGGAGTTTCACTCACGTTACCCAGGCTGGAGTGGAATGGCGCGATCTTGGCTCACTGCAACCTCTGCCTCCTGGGTTCAGGCAATTCTCCTGCCTCAGCCTCCTGAGTAGCTGGGATTACAGGCACGCACCACCATGCCCAGCTAATGTTTTGTATTTTTAGTAGAGACGGAGTTTCGCCATGTTGACCAGGATGGTCTCGATCTCTTGACCTCGTGATCCACCCGCCTTGGCCTCCCAAAGTGCTGGGATTACAGGCTTGAGCCACCGCGCCCGGCTCTTCCTCTTCTTTCTTCCTTCTTCCTTCTTCCTTCCTTCTCCTTCTTCTCTTTCTTCTTTTTGATTAAATAGTTCTAGGCTAAGCACTGTGGTGCATACCTGTAATCCCAGCACTTCAAGAGGTCAAGGTGGGTAGATTGCTTGAGCCCAGGAGTTTAACACCAGCGTGGGCAATATGGCAAAACCCCATCTCTACAAAAAATGTAAAAACGAGTTGGGCACGGTGGCACATGCCTGTAGCCCCAGCTACTCAGGAGGCTGAGTTGGGAGGATCACTTGAGATCAGCAGTTTTAGACCAGCCTGGGCAACACAGTATTCGTCAAAAAAATTTTTTTTTAATTAGCCGGGTGGTAGTGACACCTTATAGTCCCAGCTACTCAGGTGGCTGAGGTGGGAGGATTGCTTGAGCCCATGAGTTTGAGACTTCAGTGAGCCAAGACAGAGATTGTGCCAATGCACTCCAACCTAGGTGACCCTGTCTCTAAAAAAAAAAAATGTTCTGCCTAGGCGTGGTGGCTCACAGTTGTAATCCCAGCACTTTGGAAGGCCAAGGTGGGCAGATCACAAGGTCAGGAGTTCAAGACCAGCCTGGCCAACATGGTAAAACCCTGTCTCTATTAAAAATACATCGGGTGCGGTGGCTCACGCCTGTAATCCCAGCACTTTGGGAGGCCAAGGCAGGCAGATCACGAGGTCAGGAGATCGAGATCATCCTGACCAACATGATAAAACCTTGTCTCTACTAAAAAGATACAAAAATTACCTGGGTGTGGTGGCATACTCCTATAGTCCCAGCTACTCGGGAGGCTGAGGCAGGAGAATTGCTTGAACCTGGGAGGCGGAGGTTGCAGTGAGCCGAGATTGCGCCACTGCACTCCAGCCCAGTGACAGAGAGAGACTCTGTCTCCAAAATAATAATAATAAGTTTCTTAGCCTCCAATAAATAAATAAATAAATAAAAATACAAAAATTAGCTGGGTGTGGTGATACGTGCCTGTAATCCCAGCTACCCAGGAGGCTGAGGCAGGAGAATTGCTTGAATCAGGATCCAGGAGTCAGAGATTGCAGTGAGTCGAGGTCACACCACTACAATCTAGCCTGGGCTACAGAGTGAGACTCCATCTTAAAAAAAAAAAGAAAAATTTCGGTTGATTTTCAAAAACATACATTAAAGCATGCATTCTCAAAAGGGGTGATACCTCCCTAAAAAGACCCAAACTTTGTTCGTGGTTCTCAAGGAAGAAATTATTATTATTTTTTTGAGACAGAGTCTCGCTCTGTCACCCAGGCTGGAGTGCAACGGCGTGATCTTGGCTCACTGCAACCTCTGCCTCCTAGGTTCAAGCAATTCTCCTGCCTCAGCCTCCTGAGTAGCTGGGACTACAGGTGTGCACCACCACGCCCAGCTAATGTTTGTATTTTTAGTAGAGACGGGGTTTCATCATGTTGTTCAGGATGGTTTCGAACTCCTAACCTTGTGATCCACCTGCCTCGGCCTCCCAAAGTGCTGGGATTACAGGTGTGAGCCATCATGCCTGGCCAGGAAGAGATTTTTTTAAACTTACTCTTTTATGTATAAGATACATATGGATATGCAGAAAATACATATATAGATATACAGTATTAAAATTTCATGAGAGGGTAGGGCAATTCATTGTTTAATGTTTAAAGGCAATGCAACCCTGCAGCATTTAGGTCTCCTGCACCATCATCATCATTGCCATCCTTATCACCATCATCATCGCCATCATCACCTCCATCACCATCATCATCGCCATCACCATCACCATTACCACCATCATCACCATCATCACCATCATCATCTCCATCACCACCATCATCGCCATCACCATCACCATTACCACCATGATCACCATTATCGCTATCATCACCACCATCATCATCATCACCATAAACACCATCATCACCACCTTCATCATCATCACCACCAGCACCATTATCATCACCACCACCAGCAGCAGCACCATGATCACCATCATCATCATCACCATAAACACCATCATCACCATCTTCATCATCATCACCACCACCATCACCATTATCATCACCACCACCAGCACCATTATCATCGCCACCACCAGCAGCAGCACCATGATCACCATCATCATCACCATAATCACCATCATCACCATCTTCATCATCATCACCACCACCATCACCATTATCACTATTATCATCATCATCACCATCACTGTCTTCATCACTATTGTCACCACCATCATCATTATGATCATCACCATTATTATCATTAATATCATCATCACAACTCTTTGCTGATTAACTTCAGAGCAGAAGAAGGAATGTTAATGGTTAATACCATTGCCAACACCCCAAAATAACAACTCTGCATTCCTACAATTGATGTCCACAGGCCATCGATTTCTTCTAATGTAGCCTGCCAGTCAACAACTCCTACACACTCAAACTCCCAAATTCTACCTATGATTACTAACAAAAATTATTTTGCCCATTCATTAATTATTTTAGAGGCAATCCAACATACCGTTTAGGCACACAAAGCCTGGAGTCAAAATGCTTGGGTTTAAAAATCTGGCTTTGCCACTTAATGACTGTGTGGACTTGAGAAAGTTATTTAATCTCTTTTTGCCTCAGTTTCCTCCTTGGTAAAATAGGGGAATCAGAACTGCTGTATAACAGCAGAGAAAACACACACTTGCTACTTAGAAGATGTCCCCTGGCCAGGCGCAGTGGCTCATGCCTGTAATCCCAGCACTTCGGGTGGCCGAGGCACGTGGATCACATGAGGTCAGGAGTTCAAGACCATCCAGACTCATCAACATGGTGAAACCCCATCTCAACTAAAAATACAAAAATTAGCCAGATGCGCTGGCATGCACCTGTAATCCCAGCTACTTGGGAGAATGAGGCAGGAGAATCACTTGAACCCAGGAGGCAGAGGTTGCAGTGAGCTGAGATCATGCCACTGCACTCCAGCCTGGCAACAGAGTGAGATTCCAACTCAAAAAAAAGAAGAAGAAGAAGAAGATATCCCCTTATATCCTCCATTCTTAAATTTGATCCAATGACCAAAACACACAAGACATAGAAGAAAAAATAGTAACATGGAAGATAAACAAGGCTGAGACAAAATGACACCTGAAGAAAGAGAAATAAGAGCAGACAGGACAGGTCTATCTCATTGTTCAGGACTCAGCACAATTGCCCCCCCTCAACCCTGGACTTCTCCCTTCCACATAACCCCCAACCACATTCTAGATAACTTCTTTTATAACATTTATCACTACCTGGAATTCCATCATTTACTTATTATTTGGGGCAACATAGTGCAGTAAAAAAGCTTACAAACTCTGAAATCAGACTGCCTGGGTTGAAATCCTGGCTCTACATCTTATTGACTAAGTTGTCTTGGGAAAATTATTTTATCTCGTTTGCCTCGGTTTTCTTCTTTGCAAAATAGAACTAATAATGACCCAATGTCATAGAAATGTTGTGACAATTGGATATGTTCTATGTTTAAAGAAGTTACAACAGTGTTAAGTGGGCTATGACCGTCTGTCCCTCTTTCCTGTCTTCTCTTACCCACAAGAATATCAACCTCAAGAGTGCAGGAACGTAGTCTTTTTTTTTCCTCACTGTTGTAACTTCTAGAACAGCACTTGATACACAGGATGTGCTCAGGAAACACAGATCAAATGAATGACTATGAAGAAAAGCTGTCCTGAAAGATGGACTTCCCTGAGCTATGGAGTTTTGTCAAAGGTTCCCCAGATAACGGTGTTTGCAGCAACCAGCCTAGACTTATGATCTCTTTCTTGGCTGGACCATTCATGGCTTTCCCTTTTCTCTGAAGCCTATTTCCAACCCAGGCCTCCCTAGCCCCCCATTCAGCCTCACACTCACCCCAGAAGAGGAGCAGCTTGAAGCCACGCATTATGCTGTGGTTCTGTCATTCAAAGAGAAGGAGCTTTTCTACTGACCATGGGTTTTCAGTAACAGGAGGTGTAGGAAGAGGGGAAGGCGGGGCCAGAGTTGCTCAATTCTGCCCTGCCATCAGAGCCCTTTGTCCTGAGTTACTGCCACTAAAACACAGCCTAGAAAATCCTAATTTCCCTGTTTCTCCACAATAAAGAGAAGTTAATCTGCCTAACATATACTATTCTCTCCCTCTCCTTCCCACTCTCTCTCTTTCCCACCAGTCTATCTCCCAGTTCTCAACACCTTCTTTCATTGCACCCAATAAACAAGCTTCCATCTCCTGCCTCCAGTGAAGCAAATCTCAGCCTTTAGGGTCTCTTTCCAGTCTCCCCTTATAAAAACAGCCATCACAATCACAGGTACCAGGCACTGTGCTAGTCACACTGCCAACATAATGCAATTTCATTGTCATGTCAACCTCGTAAAGTAGGAATTCCCCTCCCTCTCTCCCTTCACCAACAAAATGGAAACTTAGGCTTGCAGGGGACTTGTCACTTGTCCAAGATCTCTCAGACCTGACATTTGAACCCAGGACCCTCTGACTCCAAAGTCTAAAGTGTTCATCATCTTATTTTCCTTCAGATCGCCACTCTATCTGACCCCTCTACAGCAACACTTCCACCCTATTCCCAGCTTCCTAGCTCTCTCTGATAACTGGTAACATCTCAGGGTCCCATAAGTGCAGACCCTTAGACAGGGATTCTAGCAAAAGTAGTTTATTAAGAAGGTGACCCCAGAATACACCAGCTGGGGAGGGAGAAAGTGAAACAGGAAAGGCAAAGAGCCCATACTGGGTGTGTCTTCAAACAAGTTACATGGTGAGAAAGTGGATCTTAACCTCCCAGGGGACATCTGGGAAGCAGGAGCAGCATGGAACATACTCTTCAGAGTTATTCCAACTGAGGGGTAAGGAGCTGAGGTATTTATACCCCACCTACTGTCAGTCATTAGTTGACTGGAGGCTTGTTCCCAGGGGGCGTCAACCACTTGAAACTTCAGGCCTGGCCTCCAAGCAGATAGAATGGGCTCCAGTTTGTATAATCCCACTGATAACAAAACGTAGTGATTGGCAGATGTTGAAGTGGTGTCATTCAGCTGGGGTAATACCCAAGGTTCATTGCCTCGTGGCAAGGAAATAAAAAATGCAGACATACAAGGAATAAGTTTTAGAGCAGAGGTTTAAGACAGGCGCAGTGGCTCATGCCTGTAATCCCAGTACTTTGGGAGGCCAAGATGGGTGGATCGCCTGAGATCAGGAGTTTGAGACCAGCCTGGCCAACATGGTGAAACCCCATCTCTACTAAAAAAATAAAAATTAGCTGGGTGTGGTGGCAGGTGCCTGTAACTCCAGGTATGTGGGAGGCTGAGGCAGAAGAATCGCTTGAACCTGGGAAGCAGAGGTTGCACTGAGCTGAGATCATGCCACTGCACTCCAGCCTGAGCAACAGAGTGAGACTCCATTTCAGAAA